CACAAAAATGAATATATAATAGCCCACAAAAATATTGAATATATTAACCCACAAATATTCATGAGCACACAGATTTTTTCCACAAATCCCACAAAAAACGGGGTCCCAACTATGCAGCTAATACTACTAATGATAGATACCTGTGAATAATTGGTCTATAGGTGTGAAAGAAGGTTTCTCTCATTGCACGCTCAACGGTTGTCTCGCTTCGATGCAAAGACACGGCTACCTTTCAAGATGGCGCAGGTAACCGTGAAGGAGACTATTATTAACTTTGAGATTAGCCACGTCGGGATTTTAATAGTCAAGTATTAATCACAAGCCGTCAATGGCAACACAACTCAGTAGAAGACAGAAATCTTGAGAAATCTGCCGAGGACCCAGACTTTGTCATACCCTGCTGTCAAAAGAAAGTTCTTTTACTTAATTCTATACTTGCATCGTTATACTGCGTATGCTACGGTACTCATGGTGTAAAATATTTCTCAGCTTGTCCTGACCACTTTTTGTTTACTCTTTATTTACAAGGTTGCAAGAAAATATCACTTTTTAAAAACGGTACTGCTAGTGTGTTTGATACAGTGGCTATGATATGCTTGCCAATAGGCCAGTCTGATTCAGTGAAGAATTCAGATGATCGAATCATGCAAATTTTCCATAAAAATGAACAAAAAGCAACCTAAAACTTTTAAACTAAAGAAAAAAGTTGAAGGTTATCTTTGTTTTACGCATCAAATAGTAAACCAACAATGGTATTAATAAAAACAAGCAGGGAAGTCAAACCATATCGAAAACTACTCTGTGCTCTCTCTAAACTGTCTATAACTGTTTCGTGGCGGTTCAACAGTCAGGAACCCGTCGGCGGTCCTCATAAACATAAAATTACGAAAGATTTCAGTAAAATGGTACCTTTTGATTGTATAAGTTGAGATGTAAGTAGAGAAAAGGGCCAAATAGCGACATGTATCTTGAAAGGGAGCCATGCCTAATTTGCATCGAAGGGAGACGACCGCATGCAATGATAGACCTAGAGACAATTATTCACAGTTTTCTCGCTTCGATGAAAAGGTACGGCGACCTTTCTGTGACCGTAATCCTACTGTAACTAAATTCTAGTGACCCATTGGTTCACAAATTAAATTGTGCAGGCCAGGTCCGGTAACTATGCAGTAACCGTGCGGTAATTTCTACCGTATGTTTCCCACTCATACGAAATTGACTCTAAAGCTTTTTCAAGTGGACTCACAATCACTGAAGCCTATAAACAACTGCATAAACCGTGGACCGCGGTGCAGGGTGGCTGTTCCTTAGTATGGAGACATGGGTTCACCCAATATAATGAACGATTTAATTTAACACATTTTTTTAAAGCCGATCATTAAGGGTGTACTGACATATCCGTTGCTAGGGAAATTCAGTAGTTCTCTAAAATGACAAACAAAAGTAAAATCGCTTTCGTATTGAGTATTAAACCTTCCGAAACAAAAATAACACATCCTATGACGTCATTGTATGACGTCATCGCGTGACGTCATTAATACGAAAAAATGCTATAATTTCATCAAGCAAAGTATATTAAACGATTTAAAATGGATGAAATTAATCTTTAGATTTAAGTCCGTAAAGCCAAGCATTCATTTTTAGAATGATTGCCAAATAAGCTTTTTACGATTTTTTAAGTGCCACAAATAAGCGAAAACAGGAGCCCATTACTAGGAGCTTTCCTCTTCTTCATAAGCTCTTGGAACGGCATTTACCCCTCTTGGTGCTATTTTTAGAATTGCTCATTATAAATTCAGCGCAAAACAGCCAATCAGAAAGCGACTTGAACAATAGGTTTCTGAATGACCGACGCCGCCGGTCGACCGCCGGCGAGGAAGAACTTAGTACTAGACTATTTCAAAATTCAATTTCAGGGTGTTTAAAGTTAACTTTTAGTAGAAATATGTCCCAAAAAAGGAAAGCAGAATCACCTTTCGCTTCATATTTAGCCGATGAGGAAGCCAGTGATAGAAAACAGGTGTAATTACTCTTGGGAATACAGGGGAAAATCTGGAGAAAAAACAACAACCAACAATTAAGAACTTTTCATTGAGCAGCCGAAGACCAACAAAATTCATTGGACAGCAAAAGCAACACAATTCGACTCAAATCACACTTTGGATCTTTAACTGATAACCAGAATTTGAAATCAAATGGCTGTTGAAGACGAGGAAGAGCCCGAAGGTTCAAATTGTACAAAAGCGGAAAATTTTCAACTTGAGCAAACTTGAGCAAACTGAACATGACTGAAGCAAGTAACTTATATTAAGTAATGCCCCGATTAAGAACTAGGGAAGCAAACGGCACAGGAATGCAAGAAGGTGCTAATTGCGCATTGTACAATCCATCCATCCCATTGGTTAAAACATGAAAATCTGCTATAATTTCAYAAGTTAGCGAATTTTCTAATATTTTATTTTATGTCTGTTTTCGCTTTCATGAAAGCTTTCTTTAGCTTCAATATTAAGGCAATTCTATGTGGGGAACATTGCAAATTAGAAGCATCTTTTGGCTATTGTTTTGCCAGTGCTAATGATTGGATAAGAGCTTTTAATACAAAAGAAACTTTGTTTCAAAATAGAGTTTATCCACATTTTATTTCAAAAATGTGTTACCCCCACAGGTTAATATATAATCAGTGTGAAAACCAAGACATTCGTACGTGGGGAACTTGCTATGCCGCAGAACAATAGAGAGCTCCCTAGTTCTTTAGCGCATTGTTACTTAAGCTTGCAAATTTTTACATGCAAATGGACATTGAATGGAACTCTTTTTGGGTTGACTAATTTATATGACCATAAAACAACAACATTTTAAAGGACTGTTTATCGGCTGTTCAAGAAAAAAGGCGAGTTTTTGTTTAGATGCAAAATAAGTTATTGTACAAAACTGTCACAAACAAATTTATTAAATGACAATTTTTGCATTTGTGATGTCACATTTTTTAGATGAAGAACTCATTATAAGAATAGATTATTTTGTGTTCACTGWCATGCTTTTYGATCAGATTYGTCGGTAAAAGAAACCAGAAATGTCGATTCTTTCATGTGTGAGCTTTTTCGCTTATTTTTCATACCTTTTCACTATCTTTAAACATTTAAATATAATATTTAATGGTACCATTGAACCTTTGTTACAAAATAGTTTTTGTAAAAGCGAAAATTTCTTCACTTCTACAACCTAAAATTCAATCTAAAAACACCTGATAGCACAGGGAGCCCAAGCAGTGACTTTGAACCTATAATAGTTAAAAATAAAATTTTACTCAAAAAAATGGTCTACTTTTATTTTATTTAGTGTCACAATGCATTATAAATTGCGACGTAATGTTTTATTGATTCACACGAGTTGCTTGCATCTTACAACAAAGGCGCGCGATTGAGCGAGGAAAGAGCGAGTAAGATATGGCTTTTGCTGAAACGATCACATACTACTAAGGGACGACCCATTACAAAAGTGATGGGGGTARGCGAATTTTTTTGGGTCATATCATTTTTTTTTTAATATGAAAAGTAGAAATTTTTTGGATTTGGACTTCTGTGCTGGCAATATATTTTTTTAACAGAATTATTGGATATACATACAATCCTTTTCATGGCAAGATTTTTTTTCCTGACAAAATGCCAAGGTAGACTTTTTTTTCCAAGAATTTTCATTGGAAATAATTGGAAATTGCGCGTAACTCCATGAGTATATATATAGGTAGGGGATATTTTTTTAAACCCATTTATAATGCATTGTGACACTAAATAAAATAAAAGTAGACCATTTTTTTRAGTAAAATTTTATTTTTAACTATTATAGTTTCAAAGTCACTACTTGGGCTCCCTGTGCTGATAGCGGCGGCCGGCGACTCTTCGATCACAACTCGGCATCTCAATAAGCGCGCGGGGAATGGCGGGAAAATCTAAAAATAGCACCAAGAGGGGTAAATGCCGTTCCACAAGCCCATGGGAAGAGGAAGGCTCCTAGTAATCCTCCAATAACTTTAAATTTTAAAAGCTGTCCATGTAAGCCGGCTACCACTTTGATACTGATATTTATCTGGTGGACTTCTTCGACATTCTATAGGATATATAATTATAATATAGTAATCAAGAAAAAACTGACAAGCAGTTTTTGTGTAATCATTTATTTTCATTCCATGGCAAATCAGCATCAAGGTCAACATTGCCTCCACATAAAATGATTCCAACTTTAGTCAGGTCCTTAGTTTTCCCGTCACGAAATTTTTCACTTAAAACCGCTGCCAAACCAACAGCACCCGAGGGCTCAATAACGAGCTTCATTCGTTCCCAGACCAGCCTCATCGCTGAAATAATTTCACTTTCGGTAACTGTAATGACGTCGTCGATGTTGTCCCGAATGATGGGCCATGTTGTGAAACCTAAACTCCCTCTTAAACCATCAGCTATAGTGTTAGCAGGTCCTGGAAGTAATTATTGAGATWGTGAAGTTGTCCTTCAGTAGCATGTTTTGTGTAAGATAACATACAAGTAGACCATACGCTACTGTGATAGTTATCTCAAATTTTCTCGAGAATTCGCTGGACACCAGCATCATCGGCAGACTGAACATTTACATCGAAAGCTCGAGAAAAATTAAAACAACTATCACAGTAGCGTATGGTCTACTTGTATGTTATCTTACACAATTATTGAGATGTTTTAWAAAGCAGTAAAGCGTCATGCATTGTATCTGTATATTAAAGTTGGTTAAGTTAGGCTTTGCAGTTTCTTTCTTTCCTTTTTTCCTTTTGAAATCTCCCTGATTTTTTCGGTTTAATATCGATTTTCGGCATTTTGCAAATTTTATCTGCCACTTTAAAGAAAATAATTAAAAGTGGCATTTCTGAAAATGATGCTGTCATGATTTGGTTAACACTAACCAGAAAGAAGTATTCTTTCGCCAGCTGCAAACGATCTTGCACAATCATCGGCTTGCAAAGGTTCTGCGGCAAATATCTTTATTCCAGGCTTGATTCCTTTAGCTGCTACGGTAATACCACTCACCATTCCCCCACTCCCCACAGGTGCAATAATGGCATCGATGTCCGGCACCTGAAACACATCAAGGAGTTGAGGTACATCGAAACACTGTAGACGATTTTAGAGCGCTTACTCGGTCTGTAGCATAGATAGGTCGGTTCGAGAACAGTCGGTTATAGTTTGTTTACCCAGCTTTGATTGACATAGACCAAACTAASAGAAKCTGCATCTCATTTTCCATTGGTCACGTGATATGCAATATGCAGAGATGAAACTATGTCCACCCCATATTAGTTTTYACTGGAGTTTCCCGTGTTTTAGATTTATGCTCGCGCGCCTCGATTTCTCGCCAAAAAGCAAATAATTACTCCGTTAAGTTGGGTAGAGGAGAACAATAGGCCTTTTCTAAGATAGCAGTTTGCATTGCATTGTYGTCTAGATTTGGTACAAATATCTATTGTYCATGCTGCCAAATATGGCGTTGTTTGTAMTGAAGGTWGACCACAATGCACTATAATTTTGTATAACAGAAAAGGTCTATGAAAGATCTTTATGTATACCTGCTCAAGCAATTCAAGGGCCATGGTACCCTGGCCGGCTATGACATCCCCATCTTCACATGTATYAATTAAGTGTGAGTTAGGTCCAGTTTGCTTTAAGACTTTTCTGGCTTCCTCATCAAGGTTCTGCATTCCAAATCCAAATAATTATAAATGTAAAGACATAATCGATAATGTAAGTTAGCTAGAGGATACCGTTGTCTTCAATTTTAATGAGTAAACAATGGCGGGCTATATCTTTTGCTTTATTCTATTTTTGAAAATCTTATCAACAATTTCAAACTGATCTATATAAGTGTCCATATGACTCACCTCATGTGAAATTCCATAAGTATCTATGACCCTTGCTCCATAATCCCTAATTACAGATTTCTTTATATCAGGTGCATAATGTGGTATTACAACATGAGCCTTTAGGCCCTTAATCATGGCAGCAAGAGCAACGCCCTGTCCATGGTTTCCACTACTGTAAGTGACTACTTCTGGAAGATTATCTTGAGRTTTGCCTTCAGTGAGTCTTATTACAGCATTCATGGCTCCACGGAACTAAATTGATTGGAATATTATAAYATTAAATCGACCAAGCACTAGCAAAACGAGCAAAAAGGTTTCAAGGGCATACATAGCATACATAGACTGGAGCTACAATAATGACGGGGTGGCCGTGGTGYACACACACTTAAATTTAGCACACGTGCAACAACTAAAAGTAGCTAKAAAATCTATTGGACTATTGCAAACCCCACATTCTGATTGGCTACGCTACTCGGGTCTATTTTCAATAGTCCTCGGACTTTTTTTCCCCAATCAATTTTTTATTACTTTTCACTTTTCACGCAATATGACATTTTCTTGTATATTTACAAATTAAGGAAAGACACGCGTAGGCCATGTCTCTCGAGATTTTTTTTGTAATAAATATCAGAATAGTCCTCGACTTGTAAAACGACAACTTTGCTTTTCTTTTAGAAATATATTGTGTGTCAAATCGATGTGTTAAGGACCATTTTAGCGTTTTTTCCACTCAAACCAGCCTCCACTTTAAGCATGCCAAGCGTGTCAAACGACGTCGGAAGTAATTTATGCAAATTTACAGTCGAATCTCTACTTACGGACGCTCCCGTAAGCGGACAGTTCTACTTACGGACAGCTTTTCAAACCCCCGTTTTTCCTCCCATGCACACACTGTATTTGTAATTCTATTAAGCGGACTTTCTATTAAGCGGACGCGGACACTTTTAGCGTTTCCCAAGTGACCTTTTCTATTGTTTTCAATCTCCCGTAAGCGGACACTTACGTAAATTCAATAACTTTAATTTTTTTTCTAGTTTTCAGTTTAACAAGCTTGTGAATCTAAGACTAGTATGGCGACCTTATTTCTTGAGTTTGGATTTGAGCCAATTTATCAAAAAATCATCGCCAATAAAGTAACTAGACGCTCTTGAAGCGTGAAGTCGGACTAGCTCTTTTTTAATGTATATCATAGCGTAGAATATCATATTTTTTACTTCTAAT